CATTGTCCATTAAAATTTCACAATGTGGATTTTAGCTGAACATGCAAGACTTTGTAAAAAGAAACCTTATATTTACCTAGATTTAAAACTATTTTCACCTGGAGACTAGCATTATTAACGGATTTTCTCACGCTTGAAAACCCTAAGTTAACCTCGATTTAAGGTTGTTATATAGAAGGTGCTTTTTCAAGGATTTTCAAAGGTCTTGGTGTGCGTAGAATAGAGCAGATTGTTACAGATCTCGTTTTGAGGTTACAAGGTTTACACGTAAACCGCATAACAAGCCTTTTTAGGCTTACATAAAAAGGTTTTTGCTGAGTGTAAATAAACGTTGTTTTACCATCTGGAATGGTATTATAAGAAAAGCATCGAAAACATCCAAATTGAATGGGTTTCAATTTTATATGCATTATGCAACCTTGTTTTCCGAAATAACGAGCCGTTCTTTCATCAATATTTAAATGCTCCAAAAATACACCAAATTGTTGTATAGCTTCATTCAATAGTTCATAAATTGAACGAACTTAGTAATAGTGATCTGAAGCATCAATAGCAGTGTTTTCATTGAAGTGTAAGTGATCTAATGCATCAATAGCAGTGTTTTCATCGAAGTGTAAGTGATCTGATGCATCAATAGCAGTGTTTTCATTGAAGTATAAATACTTCTTGATATCAAAGTACCTTTTTCTCGACATTACTTGACTGACGAGAGTTGTTCCAGCAACACGGGCGCTTTCTCAGCACATTTGTTTTCTAGTCAAAATATGACAACCGCTAAAGAACATAATTATTGAACCCAAATATTGCCTAAATTCAGTTTTTAGATGAAATTCTTCATTATTTTTTGTCTAGCAAACTTGTTTATGTCGTGTACTATATTTGCAATAATATTTTAAGCCATCGTTCCTGAAAGCATGTCTACTATTTTTTGACAGTGTTCACTACGAAATAACTTAAGAACTGAGAAAAATTTCGATCTGTCCATTTTTTTGCTGAGATATTTATTTTCACAGTAGTTTTTCCTTCCCTTATAACTTCAATAATACCAGTTTCTTCTCGTGATTTTTCATGAAATATAGCAAGTCCATATTCAATGCTAGTCTTCATTATTAGCGACTTCGTGACTAGAGGCAAAATTACCATTTTAGGATCACTATCATCAAATTCATTGCTCAATGTCATTAAATACTCACGAGCCTTTTCAATTGCTAAAAATCTCCAACTTATTATCGACACTTTTTTGCCAAAATTATAAGCATTAAATACAAAGCTAAACTCTAAGTCAATTATTTTCTCTCCAAAAGATAGCGCCACCTTGTAACTTAACCGTATAACCAATGAGGAATAATTCTGGAAGCACACTATGGACTTATATTCAGAGAAACCGAGATGTTATTGAGTCTCTCGGATGGGCATCTATAATATGGGATTTTATCGTTTTCCTCTATATAGGACAGCATCTAAATTACTTGTAAAGCCAGTTTAAATATGCATTTTTCGATTAAGTTTTTACTCTAATGTAATATCGAAACCTTAGGGCTTATAAATTACAAAACAAGCTTATTGTTTTCTTCTTTCAATTATTTAACCCCTTAACGATCGGTTAATTTTCAGGAAAAAGGACATAAAGGTGACTATTTTCTTATACAAGTATACAATTATATACGTATTTGATTAGTGCTGACATCTAGTTTAAAATAAACTAACTATCAACAATTAATTTAAAAATATCCTGGTCCTGCCATCTGGTGTGTAAAATGAGAAATAAAAAGTTTTCCGGGCAAACGAAATGAATTAGTTTTATTCTTATTGGCGCATTACTACTGAACACTTCAGCCCGGGAATATCACGGGAGCGAGAAATAGAGGGCGAAACCTCACCCCGTCATTTTCACGGGAGCGAGAAGGAAGGGGTTAAAACGAAATTTGAATTTGAGTTAAAAAAATAGTAAAAAATAGCTATTTTCAAAAATCTAAAAAAAAATACGAAAAACTTAATATTAATCATAAAATGAGTTTACTTAATGCTAATTCATCTTAAATCCGTATATCAGATTTTTTTGTCCCATAACATGTTCCGGGAAAAGTGGATTTTACCGTTTGTTCTCGGGTTCTTCTTTTTCGTAATTTAATCCGGGTTTTTTACAACCAGTTATTTTAACTTGATTTATTAATAAACTGATACAATACATTAANATTCAAGATCTTCAAGCTCAAACGCAGCGATAGAATCCTCCATCTTTTTTGTTTACAAGCTCCTCGTGAATAGGTTACCCTCCGATAACTCGGCAAAAACGGAGGGTTACCCGGAGAGTCAGAACTGTCGATGAAATCTGCGTGTTTGGCGAAATTTCAGCTGGAGAATAACGTTTCGCACTAAACTCGTGATTTTACTCTTACCCATAGATTACCCGGAGGTAATCCGTGTTGGTGAATACGGGCATAAGTCAACCTCGATTTAAGGTTGTTATATAGAAGGTGTTTTCCAAGGTTTTTCCAAGGTCTTGGTGTGAGTAGAATAGAGCAGATTGTCACAGATCTCGTTTTGAGGTTACAAGGTATACACGTAAACCGCATGACGAACCTTTTTAGGCTTACATAAAAAGGTTTTTGCTGAGTGAAAATAAACGTTATTTTGCCATCTGGGATGGTATTATATGAAAAGCATCGAAAACATCTAAATAGCGTGGGTTTCAATTTTATATACATTATGCAACCTTGTTTTCCGAAATAACGAACCGTTCTTTCATCAATATTTAACTGCTCCAAAAATACACCAAATTATTGTATAGCTTCATTCAACAGTTCATAAATTGAACGAACTTTCAATAGAACTTTCAATGCATCAATAGCAGTGTTTTCATTGAAGTGTAAGTGATCTGATGCATCAATAGCAGTGTTTTCATTGAAGTATAAGTGATCTGATGCATTAATAGCAGTGTTTTCATTGAAGTGTAAGTGATCTGATGCATCAATAGCAGTGTTTTCATTGAAGTGCAAGTGATCTGATGCATCAATAGCAGTGTTTTCATTGAAGTGTAAGTGATCTGATGCATCAATAGCAGTGTTTTCATTGAAGTGTAAATACTTCTTGATATCAAAGTACCTTTTTTCTCGACATTGCTTGACGAACGAGAGTTATTCCAACAACACGGGTGTTTTCTCAGCACATTTGTCTTCTAGTCAAAATATGACAACCGCTAAAGAACATAATTATTGAACCCAAATATTGCCTAAATTCAGTTTTTAGATGAAATTCTTCATTATTTTTTGTCTAGCAAACTTGTTTCTGTCGTGTACTATTTTTGCAATAATATTTTAAGTCATCGTTCCTGAAAGCATGCCTACTATTTTTTGACAGTGTACACTACGAAATAACTCAAGAACTGAGAAAAATTTTGATCTGTCCATTTTTTTGCTGAAATATTTATTTTCACAGTAGTTTTTTCTTCCCTTATAACTTCAATAATACCTGCAGTTTCTTCTCGTGGTTTTTCATGAAATATAGCAAGTCCATATTCAATGCTTGTCTTCATTATTAGTGACTGCGTGTAGATCAAGAGGCAAAATTACCATTTTAGGATCACTATCATCAAATTCATTGCTCAATGGCATTAAATAGTCACGAGAATCTTCAATTGTTAAAAATCTCCAACACATTTTCGACACTTTTTTGCCAAAATTATAAGCGCTAAATGCAAAGCTAAACTCTAAGTCAATTATTTTCCCTCCAAAAGATAGCGCCACCTTGTAACTTAACCGTATAACCAATGAGGAATAATTCTAAAAGCACACTATAGACTTATATTCAGAGAAACCGAGACGTTATTGAGCTTCTCAGGTGGGCATCTATAATAGGGGATTTTATCGTCTTCCTCTATATAGGACAGCATCTAAATTACTTTTAAAGCCAGTTTAAATATGCATTTTTCGATTATGCTTTTGCTATAATGTAATATCGAAAGCTTGGGGCTTATAAATTTCAAAACAAGTTTATTGTTTTCTTCTTTCAATTATTTAACCCTTTAACGATCGGTTAATTTTCAAGAAAACGGACATACTATTTTCTTATACACGTATATTATGTACGTATTTGATTAGTGCTGACATCTAGTTTAAAATAAACTAACTATCTACAATTACCTTAAAAATATCCTGGTCCTGCCATCTGGTGTGTAAAATAAGAAATAAAATGTTTTCCGGGCAAACGAAATGAATTAGTTTTATTCTTACTGGAGCATTACTACTGAACACTTCAGCCCGGGAGTATCACGGGAGCGAGAAATAGAAGGCGAAACCTCACCCCGTCATTTTCACGGGAGCGAGAAGCAAGGGTTTAAACCAAAGATTTAATTTGCGTCAAAAAAATAGTAAAAAATAGCTATTTTCAAAAATCTGAAAAAAATTCGAAAAACTTAATATTAATCATAAAATGAGTTTAGTTAATTCTAATTTATCTGAAATCCGTATATCAGATTTTTTTGTCCCATAACATGTTCCGGGAAAAGTGGATTTTACCGTTTGTTCTCGGGTTCTTCTTTTTCGTAATTTAAGCCGGGTTTTTACAACCAGTTATTTTAACTTGATTCGTTAATAAACTGATGCAATACATTAATTTCAAAACAACTATTATCTTTAAGAATTACTATGATTTTAAATATGATTGAATCGAACGAGAAAGAGTGTTACCCGGAACTAGATACCCAGTAAAATTGGCCGAGTACGGGTACCCGGAAGTATGTCTTGAGACTAAAAACAGGGATCAGGAATCAGGTACCGCGTAGTGAAATTCCTCTTACTGGGTTCGGATAACGAAAATCTGATCAAGTACCATATAATTACCGAGTGCATCTCTAATTATAGACGACTGTGAGGACAATGAGCACTAATCCCAGTGAATTTTTCTTTTTATTTTACTCTATAAGAATTTATGTTAAATGAATGTTTTTTTTTTTCCTCGCGATTTATCATTTGCATCTTTAATAAAAAAAAGAAGCACCATTCACTGTAAAAATACGCGCACAGTTTTTAATCATGGTTTATTGAAAAATGAACTTTTATCAAGCAAATGATAATACACTGGGTAGTTTTCGTTATCCTTTTTAACAGTTATAGTGATTTTTCTTGATCTTCATTTGTCTTGATTTGAATGATTCTTCATTTGTCTTCCTTACGATAGGCATTCCTAAAAAGATAACGATAGTAATTTTAATATAAAATGCCATTAAAACAAGTCAATCAAATTCGTACACCTCTTGAAATTAAATACCTAACTTTCTTTGAATAAAAATAATTAATTTATATTTATTTATTTATCTTGTTTTTGCATAGCTGATTATTCCGCACATCTTAAAAAATGATACATTTTTGATGATAAATCAGAAATGATGCAATCGGAACTCTATCTAATTCTTACGTCTGATAAAATTAAATACGTAAAATTTTTTGAATAAAAATAATTAATTTACATTCATATATTTATTCTGTTTTTGTATAGCTGATTATTCGGCACATCCAAAAAAATGATACACTTTTGATGATAAATCAGAAATGATACAATCAGAACTCAATCTAATTCTTATGTCTGATAAAATTAAATACGTAATTTTTTTTTAATAAAAATAATTAATTTATATTTATTTATTTATTCTGTTTTTGTATAGCTGATTATTCTGCGCATCTAAAAAAATGATACATTTTTGATGATAAATCAGAAATGATACAATCAGATCTCAATCTAATTCTTACATCTGATAAAATTAAATACGTAAAATTTTTTGTATAAAAATAATTAATTTATATTTATTTATTTGTTCTGTTTTTGTATAGCTGATTATTCGGCACATCTAAAAAAATGATACATTTTTCAAACACTAGTGTTGCCTGTTTGCATCGTGGTTTAAATTTTTTAAAAAAGTAAACAACGATCATTCTTATGATTAGGAAATTCTTTAAGAGTTTTAAATTCTCATAGTGAAAGGTTCTAAACACGAATTAAGACATAAATATTGCTGTTCAAAGCAAATATACAATTTTAACACTTTTAAGTTTTATGAAAAAATTAGAAACAATCTTTTTATTGAATCTTTATTTTTTAAATGTGTCAGAGATAATTTGCGAGTATCTTCGTCATACTCATTAATTGTTAAAGTATAATGAATATTAAAAATGCATGCAGTTGGAAAGCTTAAAGATTGTGTCAGAATGTTGATAAGTTAACATCAGCATTAATAAAACATCTAAATATGTGCTAATTCTTAAAAAATAATGAAAGCACACCTACTAAAAATCTTTATAAGGAAATAAAAATTCACAAAAATACAACATTTTACTTACTGGCAATTTCTTATAGTTATCCAAATCCTGTGAATAAAAAAATGCAGTTTATCATATTATATTAAAACACTTTATTAATGCATTTCTAACCTACTATTGTTAATAATTTCTCATTTATTCATTTGTATTGCATTACAAATTTATTTTTCAGTCTGAAATATTTTTTTTTTAAATACTGAAAATGTAGTTTTGATAATTCTTAAACCAATATATTTTAATTAATGTTCATAATAATTTTATTAAATGCTCTCAAAATTTTGAGGAACATAAAAGAAAATCCTCAAAACTAAGTAAAAATAATTATATTTACTAAATNATTTGTATTGCATTGCAAATTTATTTTTCAGTCTAAAATATTTTTTTTTTTAAATACTGAAAATGTAGTTTTGATAATTCTTAAGCCAATATATTTTAATTAATGTTCATAATAATTTTATTAAATGCTCTCAAAATTTTGAGGAACATAAAAGAAAATCCTCAAAACTAAGTAAAAATAATTATATTTACTAAATTGTTTTTTTGTAATTCATTGACTTAATTTTATATGACTTGCAATATTGTCTCAAAAACGGACAAGACTATTTGAAAAAAATTCAGGTCCCGGGCGAACTCTTACAATTTGCAGTCTCTTTATTTGGTTCAAAATATTTGTAAGTCTAAATGTCTAAAAACAGACAAGACGAATCGTCAGCAATTTAAATAAATTATTCATACTGGGTGGGGAACTAGGAGTCTTCACCACGTTCTTCAAAGATTTGCTATATCAAGATTTAAACTTAGTTTTCAATTGTTGTTCTTGATCCATCTATCAATGGTTTTGCATAAAAACAAATTAAAAATACTTATTTCATTTTTCTGATATAATTATGTAAAAAGATCCCTGTTACCCATTGGAAATTTAACTGATACATATCAGTACAGGGAGAAACAGGAATACATATTAGTACAGGGAAGAAAAAAAAGAAAATCTATTTCTGTAGTGCACTTTAGCTAACTACTTATATCGACAGTGCACTTTCTTCTTTATTATGATTTAGATTAGAAAATAATGAAAAATGTTGATTACATATCCATTTACACATATTTTAGGCAATGAGAAACGCTGGTTCTGTTTTTACTTTTCAAAAGTACTGACGCCTGTTTGTACTGTATACTCTGCTCCAATGCACGACGTACTCTGATATAACACATCTTCTATATTCATTTGTTCAATGCATGAAAAACTAAGGCCAGATGATGTTTGAATAAAACACTTAATAGTGTTTATGCAATACCAATACTTACATCACCCTCAAGTTTCTTCATCAGGCACTCGTGACACTGAAAAATAAAAATAAAAAAACGAAATTAAGGCAGCGTATTAAAACAATAAATTGAAAAAACAATTTATACCAAAAAAACATTAAGTGAATTAGTTTTAATTTTTTTTTCTGATGTACAGTACAGAACCCATTATCCGGAAATCAGAAAATCTGAAAACTAAAAAACCGGAACGAAATTCGATAAATTTTCCCGCCATTTAAAAAAAAAAAAAAACATTTTTTTCTCATAGGATTTAAGGATTTTTCTTTCTATTTTGAAAGATGTTTACCTTACCATCATTTTAGAAAATAATCATTAGTGTATTACTTCATCGTTTTTTCTTCTTTTTAAGATTATTTCCACTTTTTTTTTAGTTGGGTTTAACAGTAAAAAAAAACGGCTTTTTGTAGCGATTCAGAAAACCGGAAAAATCAGTTATCCGGAATAGCGATGGTCCCGATCGTTCCGGATAATCGGTTCCCTACTGTAGTACTTATTAAGCTCTTGTCTTCAATAGAGTACTTGCAACTGAAGAAGTGAAGTGATTATGCCTTTATTAAGTGAAGTAATTATGATTTATGACCACATGATTTATATCCGATTTAATTGGGAGACTGTAGGCGACGCTACACGTGTGTATCAAACCTATTGGCTTTTGAATCGACAAAGGTCACGATTTATCTACGATGGCGTCACTTGCAGGTATCCAATTCGAGGGAGATACTTTTCCTAAGTAATCTACACAACACTGACTTGAATTTGGCTATTTAACCTTTATTCGATAAGTTCTTCATTTTAATAAAACTTTGGATCACATGTGTATGCTTATTAGATAGCTGTGAAGTCGGAAGTGGAGAAACTTTTGCAAGAGTCGTTGTCAGAAAAATTTTACTCGACTCTGACTCCAGTTAGTTAACAGTTAGGTTCTATAGGTTAAAGGAGAAGGGTAATTTTTTACTTTATGAAATTTAATTAGGCAAATATTTATATGTGAACAAAACTATTACTGAATTGAGTATTGTAATAAAGCGACTGTGTGACTTTTAACAACCACTGATTACAGTCATTCACAGTAATATATACACCGAAGAGCCATTACATTATGACCACCCTGCTAATAGCATGTAAGACCACCTTTAGCCCTCAAAACTGCTAGCACCCGCCGTGGCATTGATTCCACAAGGTGCCGATAGGCAGCCTGAGGTGTCTGGTACCAAGCGCTCACCAACTGGTCTTGCAATTCCCTCACATTGCGAGGGAGTAGCGTGGCAGCACGAATTTGGTTTTCTAAGTAGGACCACAAATGCTCTATTGGATTAAGGTCAGGTGAACTTGGGGGTCGAGACATGACTTGAAAGTCACTGGAATGTTCCTCGAACCAATCCATGACGATTTGACCCCTATGACATGGCGCATTAATACATAAACACCATCCCCGAAGGAAAAACTGTTGCCATGAATGGGTGAACCTGGTTTGCAACTATGTTCAAGTAGCTTACAGACGTCAGGGATTGTTCTATGAGGATTATGGGTCCTAATGTGACCATGAAAACATTGTTCCTAGGCGAGCTCATTGTTAAAGATGGATGGTGGTCATAATGTAGTGGCTCATCGTTGTATATATATATATATATATATATATANATAGAGAGAGAGAGAGAGAGAGAGAGAGAGAGAGAGAGAAAGAGAGAGTGAGAGAAAGAGGAGAGAGATAGAGAGAAAGTTTGTTTTTTAAAGATTTTTAAATTTATGATACACTGGTTTTAGATTATATGAACTTCATCAGACCACATTGCATATTTATTAAGCGATCGTCCTTCCTTTAGCTCTCACAGTACAAAGTACAGAGGTTAACTACGTTCTTCCAATTAAATAGCAGTAACAATAAATAACCATTTAAGATAATATTAAAATTTCTACAAACGCTTTTGATTTCTTCTACAGAGTATTCGCAAAAACTTGTTGCCATCTCTCTTCCGCAAACTTTTGTTACTACATTGCATCCTGTACTCTCAATTTTGTCCACCTGGAAAACATAGTAAAAAACATTGCAATCTGACATCATCGGAAAATAATGCGAGGTTTCGTGTGCAAAATAAAATAAAAAGTGAACACAGTGAATAATTTTTGATATAACGATGGGATTTACATGGGCTGGGATTTTTCTAAATGGTATAAGAACTTAGCCTTAAATATGCTAATTTATTAGTACCAGCTATATTTTAAGTTGCTGAATTAGACGCAAAAGCGGACTTTCTCTGATTAAACATGCCTTTTTCTGGCTCTCAAGAATCTTTGTTTCATTTTTTATATTTGTCATTGAACAGCCGACCCAATTTTAGGTTTACGACTACTAATCAACTCAGTACTACAGTTCAAAACCGTAGCCTTGTGATTTGAACTAATCCAGGAGTTTCCTTGTCTTCTGGAATGGTATTGATTTGTTATGGGAACATGGAGGACTTTACGACTCCACAGATTTTACGTGCATCCGTCACCATTTACTACACGGAGAATCCGGTGGGGATCGAACCCAGACACTCATGATTAAAGGAGTGGTAGTCGCAAACTGGAAAATATGACCTCCCTAATAGGTCAGGAGAGCTGATGTTAATTTTACCGTTTGCGTATGTCACCACATCTCGCTACATCATCATAGTAAGTCGAAAAATTTTCAGCACATAATTATAAACTTCGTATATCCACATATAGTTCCGTGAGAAAAGTAATTTATTATTATTATTATTATTTTTTATTTAATATTGTAGTTTTTTTTCTATTCTATGTAATATCACTCTAAATAATTTTGAAATTTAAGGTATAAAAATTTTCGCATCAGTTTAGAGATTGAAACATTAAATAGCAAAATATAAAATTATAGCTATCTAGATAGAAATATTCGCGAGAAAATTTTTTTTAAATGTACGTGAGACTTTTTTTGAAATTTTCTAACTCTGAACATGATATTCATGCCAAGAAGTTTTTAATTGCTGGCGAATTTAATTAAAATAAGTTCATCCAAATCATACCGCGTAGTCCTAAGTCTTGTTGTCAGAGCAGGTCAAGACAGGAGAGGCCAGTGAAAAATATTTACTACAAATTTGAAGATTTTTCTGCCCATTGATATATGCAAAGATCCCAATATTTCCTCTTGGTTGATGGTGACTCCAATTAAAAATCATTGTTTCTCATATGAAGAAAAATTTCAAAAACCCCAAAACGTATTTGATCACTCCTCTAAGCATTGTTTAAAACTTTAATTTCAAAATGACAATGATGGATTTGTTTGCTTTTGAAAAAACAAAACTTTAAAGGGATTGATATTTTTGTATTTACGAACTTTATTGGGTTTACGATTACTAATGCTCAACTCCATAGCCTTTTAATTTTGAACCAATCTAGAAGACAAGGAAAACTCTTGGATCTGTACCCCCAGAGGCATGGATTTGTTATGGGCACAAGGAGGACTTTGCGACTCGATAGATTTAACGTGCATCGGTCACCATTTACTACACAGAGGGGAACTCTTGAATATAGACCCAGTACCCTACGAACCAGGCTATCCAGGCCCGGAAAAATAAAAATAACCGCTGAAAAAAATTTTCAAAATTATTTACATTTTCTCTGTTCATTGAATCAGTATTTTTTAAAAACTTTTTAACTAACAATAACCAAAAATAAACCAACAATTATAAATGTTTCAATAATCTAAAAAAAGTACATATTTTTAGCAGTGATTATTTAAATCTCGAATCAAAGCATATTTGAAAACTATTCAAAAACAAAAAGGTATTGGGAATTGATTTACATTTAAGTGTGCTTTTAAAGCCTCTAAAAATTATTTATTTTATTTTCATTTAAAAAATATAGAAAATATGGGCTTTAAAAACTGAATTAGTAATTTAAGTATGCTTCTCTTTATTCAAAAAATTTTAAGAGTCGATGCTTTTTCCTTAAATTATTTTTTTTTCCAAATATCGATTATTGTTCTTTGAAATCCTAGTTATCGTTCATTTGTTAACACTAAACATGAAACTGCCGGTCAGGTGACCGTTTAAGAACTTTTGCATCGATAATGCTTGTATCATCTTATCGTTTTTGCACATTTAGCTTCATGGCTCTGATAATTATATGTAGTTAATATTCTATTAATAGCATTTTTTTGGTATTGTTTGTTTCGAATAATACTTGTCGTATACCTATTTCTACCACAACCTGTCATTCGACCGGGAGAATAATTTATTGCTTTATAGGATTATCGGATCAGAAATTATGATGTATTCCGTGCTCAACGTATTGCATTCGACTAGTTGCACATTTCCTGCAAAAATTATTGCGTAATTAGTTCAATCAGAATAACTGTGAATCCAAATTTCAGGCAAATACCGAAAATTTCGAATTGGCTTTTTTGTGTAAGAAAAAGTGACAAAAACTAAAAGTTTTGGCAAGTAGCTTATATTTTGTTTTGATAGCTTTACGTCATTTCTAACTACCTAGGTTACTTTTATCCAGAAAAATGTCGAAACAATCAAGACAGTCCAAGTTCTTAGAAGAAATGAATAATATCGGCGAAGATTTTTCGGAAATTGAGGAAGATGAATTTTCTGAAAAGGAGGATATACTGGCTGAACGTAAGACATGCCAAATAGGATATTGTAACGACAATAAAACCATCAAAATTTGTTCTGAATGTGAAAAATATGTCTGCGGAAAATGTACAATGGAAACACAATGTATATGTAAAATATGCGCTGAGCAATTAATTAAAAATTCTTATTCTTTGTGTTTGCAATACATAAAAATTGGCAATATACGATTTTGCTTAATTATAATAAAGTTTTTTTGTTTACTTCCTTCCTAACATCAATATTTTATATATTCAATTAAGAAACCGGTCATTTAACCGGCTATGGTAGAAATAGATATAGATTAAGTGTTGATATGTTTAGTGTTAAAATTAACATGTGTACAAAATGTTGACTTCTATAAAGCCAAAAAAAAATCATATATTTTGAAAAGAAAATTTTCTCAGTTCTTGTGATAAATAATGACGCTAAAGAAAAATCAATAATTAATGAGTAGCAATGGCAACCGAAGTTGGTGAGCTTGGCGAGTTTGAGAGTTGGCGAGCGAAGCGATCAAGTAGTGCCGGCTCCTAGCTCACTAAAACATCGTAAGAATCAACGCAGCTGTTTTACATATTCAAATCCAGTTTTGCACTGCGAAAACTGTAAGACTTGGAAAGTTTTTTTTCTTCTAATGGCAAGGCAATGAAAAGAAATAATTAAAACAACAAATTCACAGTAGAACAGATGACATAAAAGAAATTGACCGAAGTCATTGCCCCATTAAAAGTTCTCTTGCACGCCAATGCAGTGATGTCTCAGAGTCGCCATGCAGTGATGAGCAACGGTGGAGGTGGTCTCTATTCATAGGCCATGCCAAATTACATAGGGGGCAGTTTGGATGGTGAAACACCCCAATGCGATAGAGAATGTCCGGTCAAAAGATAGAATTTTGCAACAGCTTCTCCACGTGGAGAATCGGTAATGGCCATAAGATCACCAACTCTCCACAGCTTTGACTGCAAACGGTCAAGTAGTTGAACTTTAAAAAATTTTTATCATTATCTGTTTAAGATACAACTTTATAGAATGATATGACATTTTTGAATATCTTGACTGAAGCAATCTCGAGCGGTTCTTCGCTGGAAAATCTGCCAGCTCGTTTCCATAACTCCACAGTGGCCAGGAATCCACTGGAGTGCAACACGCTTTTTCTTTAAGGCCAACCTCAGCAAGTAATCCCGACATTGAGAGATTTCGGTTTCTAGGATTATGGGGAAATAAGGAAATTCTACATTCGATAGTAATTTTGAGAATTATTAATAATTAAACGTGTTCACGCCGGACGCCATGCAGCTGACAGAAATGCAACAAAAGAGTTGAATTTTGATTTTTTTTTTTTAATTCAACTCGAGTTTTTATTTTTAATACCAATTTGTTTGAAAGTTATTGAACTTAAGTGTTAAAAATTTTAATTGACTTTTTTTTTTTTACAAATTTTCTCTCTTTCTCTTTTGTTTTTTATAATGAAAATTGATCTGTTATTTTACAAAAACTTTTTATTTCTATTGAGATGTTTTTTCATGTACATAACCGTCGTAGAACAGCCGACCCATTTTTGGGACTACTAATGTTCAACTCCGTTGCCTTTTAATATTGAACTCAATCCAGAAGAAAAGGGAACTCCTGGATCGAGTATAGGGAGAAATTTGCCTTCGTGGAGGACTTTCTGATGAAACTAGCCCGCATTTGCGTTACATGTAGAAGAAGAACACGAGAACCTCCCACGGTTAGACTGACGGCAAGGGGACTCTGGCCCATGACCCATCTACCACTGAGGATATTTCACGTCAGAACTGTGGCCGGTGCTAGCCTGATGCGTAATTCGTATCGCCGGGTTCGAACCCCGGTTCACGTCATTGGCAGGCGAATCTCTATTCCCTGAGACATCGCCTTGAATTGGTGTCGAATGTAACAAAAAAAGGAGCTGGAAAACAGAAAAAAGAGATACTAGATTTTGTCAGATGCCAGATGTAAATTTGAACATTTTTGCATAACTTTTTAAAAAGAATTCCTTAGAAAAAACGTTACTTGAGAGAGATAAAAACCATTTGCTATTATAACTATTATAATTATATATTAGTCTCGTTAACAAGTAAAATTACTTTTCATTAGTTTATTTTTATTATTAGCATTTTGCATTCTTTATTTTTTTTTCAAGTACAGTTATATAATTTTTGAATTCAGACTCTATTATTCATTAATTTTGCTACAATTATTAACACAATGCTGTTACATAAAAGTCAAAAAATGATTTATATTTTTTTCTCTTTTAAAGAGATATCCACTTTAAGGAAAAAAGATCAAAGATGAATGCAATACAACTCTGGGGAGTGGAGAGCGGAGCATCACTGGCAGTGAGCGGGTGGGTGACCACTTGGATCAGTTTGCGTAGGAACCGAGTGTGTGCGGTATTGGTCCTCGTTAAACTGTTCTACCGTAAAGTGCTCGACTTCGTGCGCAGGTCGTCGGGCTACCGAAGCGGGGGTGCCATCCCCTCTGCAGAGGATCAAAATTGTGTTGGCATGTCTTCGGATCATCCTCAGGGATGCTTCCCAAACCGTCGCCGATAGTCCATTCTGCAGCTCTAGTACGACATAAATGAACTGCTACAACTACTACTACTGGAGAGTGGTGCGAGCAGAGAACAAAGTTTTTAAGGGGGGGGGGAAATAATCACATCCGATTGAATCATGTTATTCCTGATCAATTACAGAGAAATCGGGGGTTTTAAATAATTTGCGGATAAAGCTTAGAGGTCTTACTTGTGTAGAAGTTAAGTAAGCCCATTTTATTCCAAATATACAGAATAAGAAAAAATATTTTTTTTTTACCTAAATTTTTTATAAAATGAACTCTGAGTAAGCAACTTACCATTGGTACAAGAATTTTTCTACAGCAAACTGACAGCTCCTTATTTTTTTCAACACCTGCAAACGTTATTCACTATATCAGAAATCGAAAACTTTAATTATGCAAATCAGACAAATGTTTGCAAAATATACATTGAAACACATAGATGTGAACACTTGACTATATTCATTAAGCGTGAATATAGACTCAAGTCATTATTGCATACAATATTCTCTATTCATCATACTCATTCCCAAACAAGGTTAAAATTACAAATCATCATTTTTCATTAATCACAACTGCAAAAAATTGCGGATAAAAGTAGGGTGAAAATTACCGTTACTTTACCGAAAAATACATTTTTACAGGAGCATGTTTCTGAACAAAAATCTTATACAGTTCCTGGACATATTATTGTACGCACTATAAGATTCTATGTAACATTATGCAAATGATTAAAAAAAATTATAAAAAATATTGAAAAAAAGATAATTAATTTGCAAATCTTACATATTCCATTTTTCACTTTTTCCAAGTCGTACTCATGACCGGCACAGGGTGCTCCAATGACAAAAATCACGCAAATTACTGAAAGGAGGAGTGCAGACATTTTTTTTTAATGAATTTTACTTGAAAATTCAAACGTTTCGAAGTATGCAATGCTTCCAAAACTCAAAATGAAAATTTTATATATGATGAAACAAGGAAAAATTTCAAAACTATATCTGTTAGTGAAGTAACGTTTTTAATCACGCTATAACTAATATTTTTCCTTTTAGGAATAATACTTATTGTTAGAAAGTGCTTATAAAACATGTTGTAAAGGAAATTACCATTCATTTACATAGGCAGGTAAACATTTTTCAGGAAATTCCTTACAAATCCAAATCCTTGGTAGACCCTCACGTGAGAATGACGTGTAATATTTCACAACAAATTTGGGAAAAACATGTAAAATTAAAGAAGAAAAATTTAATGTATATCTAAGAACAATTTCATACTTTCCATTTTCATTTATAACTTCGCAATAGTAAATATAAATATGGACATATACCTTTTTCCTTGCATTTTTTAAGTCAGATTTCACCCAAACTTTAAAACGGAATATCGTTTTTTTGTTTGTTCAGATACTCAATTGAATTAGTTTTCTGTCAGTAACTAAATCACAAAAGGTTCAAACTGATAAATGGGCCTTTTATCCTTGGATGAAGATAATAAATCTGGAATTAAAATTAGGTCAAAATTTAGATTTATAATGATACCTTTAAAGAAATTTTTAATTTTTTACTTAAAGCTAACTAAAATTTCAAATGATACATACTGAAATTTTTAATATTTTACTAAAAGTAAATTAAGATTTGAGACATGCGAAGTGAATTTTTTTTAAATTTTTTACTGAAAGCCTCTTAAAAAAAATGCAGTACTGGAAATTATTTTTTTGAATCATGATAGATGATTGCATTTAAAGTACACTGTTAAAATTTTTGTTCTAAAATTATGGTGAAACAACTGGCAGCTGTCAGTCCACCCGATTAACCCAAAAGTTTACGGTAAAGAACATTTTTTTTAATTTATGGTTTTGAAACCATTTAAAAAAAAGTATGATTATAAACCATGAATACAAAACTATACAGTTTTTTAACCATTTACAACTAGCATTTTCAAAAACGTAAAAAATTTTTATTTTATTTTACTAGACATAGGAGCTCGGCTTTTCGTAAGGTAACGGGCAATCGAGAGTGACGGACACTGGAAATTCTTCATGTGTTGAAGAGAATGGAGGAAATATTGTGGTGTCAACACTAGGACTCGAACTCCAGTACTGCCGGTCATGAGATTGACTGATAACCCCGCTCTGCTATAATGTGTACTCAGTTGCAAAGAACTAAGTAACTTCATTAGGTGGTTCTAGTGGGTGCGATAAAATTTTGGTTGTTTAACCGTATTAGGTGAAAGCAGTTAATAAACAGTTTTTCTAACAAACTTAACAGTTTGATTACCATTTTATTTATGGTTATCTGACTGTTTCGATTAAATATGGTAAAATAACCATTCAATAAATTGTTATTTAACCATTTTTGCCGAGAAATTTCTGACAGTGTATGATAAAAGAAAACTCTCTAGAATAAATAAATTAAATCTAACTAGTGTTGCATCGCATTCAAACAAACGAATTGTTCCTAACAAAATATTAAATCAATAACAAAATACAAATTCTTAAACCTATGTTTTTCAAGAAAACTGAAAAGAAAATAGTTTTATTTTCATCTTACCTATTTTAAAAATCTGTGGCAGAAAAGCACTTCCAACTGGAGTGATAGAAATTAATACCGTCATGTGGGGCTACTTTGTGCAGCGGGGGCTACTTTGTGCAAATTCAAATTTGGCACTTTTCAAGTGCTGCTATCCAGTATTATGTTTTCTTCACGTTAAAAATGTGTGGAATTTGAAGATAGAAGTCTCCTACAAAAAAATTTTCGAATTTTAAAACAATCTCAGAGTGTGTTTTGTTTATCCAATTTCAATAACTTTCCGAGAACGTCGGACGTCGAAAAGTGTGCGTGGAAACTTTAGCTGTGAAATGCAAAGACGTTGATAAAACAATTGTTGTAAGTGCAAAATTTTTTATTTATATATTAATAAACAATTATATCATGCTAGCGTTAAAAAAGACTTGAAAATTAATAACAAATAAACGGAAAATGAAAAAAAAAATGCACTGTGGGGCTACTTTGTGCAAGGTTTCATCCGGTTTTTTTCGACAGAAAAATTGTCAGACGTTATAAAAAAAATATCTAGAACGAGAAACTACAGTGATTACACTTTAGAAAAGCTGCAACAATGTTTGCATGCAGTTGCTAGTGGTATGTCGATTGCAGAAGCTTCTCGGAAGTACAAAATCCACAAAAATACTATCTCTAGTAAAATTCACAAGAAACACGTAAAACGTGCTGGTAAACTATTATTTTTCTTCTACAAAGATTTTTCTAATGAATTAATCAAACTATTTAACACATAAAAATATATTTTATAGGACATCAGGTGATTTTGACAGAAACTGAAGAGCAAGTTCTATCATGTTTATTCAATCATGTTATGTTCAAATTTATCGATATTATAAATGTTGATGAATATGTAATAATTATTATTTCTTAAATTTCATCCATTTCAATGTTCAAAAATGTATATGGTTTCCTTTTGTTTAAACTCAAATGTTTTCAAATAAACATTTTTTTAAGAAAAAATTCGTTATAAAAAATGGTTTTTTATCGCTGAAAATTATTTTCAAATTAATATCTTTACATATCTTGATGTTTTTGTTATTAAAAATGTCAATAATTAACTATTTCAACAATTTTATATCAATATTTTACTAAAAACATGATTATTAAACTGAATTCCTATCACTGCACAAAGTAGCCCCACTTGGAAGCTACTTTGTGCAAGGTATGTTTTGACTTATTATTTGTAAATATTACATACAAATAATGCCAATATTGATCAAATTCACTCGTCTGAGTCCAGTTATGAATATAATATCGATAAATTTTACTAAAGTTTGAATTAACATAGTTTTTTTACATGTCAAAGTTCAAAAACTGCAAACTCCTGCACAAAGTAGCCCCACATGACGGTAACTTAAGTTATTCTATTTATGCACGTTTTCCGTTTTAAATTTGACGACATATAAATTGTTTTTTCCTCTTTAGCCTACTTATTATTGTTTTATTTTATGATTTTTTTCCTTTTAGTTTTATGTCTATTTGTTTTTTAGTGTCAAAAATTGGCAAAAAATTCTGTTGGTGATAAATTTTCCTTAACATTATTTATAAATTTGAATTGGCATCAGGCACAGATCTTGAATTGAAATTTGAGCACAGTGGCAAAATAGATGAAATTGGGATTGATTATAAGTTCCTTTCGAGAATAAAATAGCGATAAATTATGCTTTATACACTGAGAAAACAGCATGACAAAAACTACTACAATATGATAAAATTAACCCAGTTTTCGGCTCTACTGCTCTTGTAAAATAAACATTAAAATAGAATCTAATAATACGTAAGAAAATTTCTACTGTGGTTATTATAGTATCTTAGAGGATAGCATAAAAACCTGTTATTCGGTTAAATTTACTTTTCAGTATTGTACTACAGTAAAACCTCGTTACAACAGTATTTCGGAGAGAAAAAAATGAATTTATTGTTGTAGAGGGATATATTTTTATATCGAGGACCTATTATACATTCAAACCCCGCTATAGTGAACCTGCAAGGGACCAAAATTTCGGTTCACTATAACCAGGAATTCACTATATCCGCACTACGAACAATTATAACTAATTTTTCCAAGTTGCTCCCTTTTATTACACATTATTTAAATAAATGGCCCATAAAAAGAAGTACAAAAATGATTAAACAACATGTAATAACCAAAAGATGTGTAAACTTTTATTTTTTATTACTCTTCGTCTTGCGTACAGTGATGGCCTTTACTTAGGGATGGGAGACTGAGATAGAAGATGCAAAAAAGAAAAAAAGCTTATGGCTCCATTCCACTCAATAGTTGGTTTTAAAAATCGGTATATGTATTTTATGCAGAAATTTCGAAATCACCAAAAAATGAAAAAAAATCAAACGAAGGCAGAAAAAGTTTATAATATCCAATTTCCTCACTTCTTTTGGTTCTCTATATCCACAAAAAATAATATTATATGCATATAGCAAAGCAATTTCGTTCACTATATCCGAGAGTTCACTATAAACCCTGTTCACTGTAACGGGGTTTGACTGTATTACATATATTCATTTGGTGAAAGTAAATTCATTATTAGAGTAACATACTTATATTGTATTTCTCAATAGTTATCTTCGTATTTTGTTCATTATGATTTTATTAACTTAAAGTAAAAAATTAATGTCGTTACTTATTTTTAATTTTGCTTTTACTTAAGTATCATATTAATTTAGTTAAAATTATTTTTACCATTGATTTATGAATTTGCAAGTCTTTTACCTTCAGAGAGCATATTCCAAGGGTGAATACTTTACCAGGTAATAAATAATAATAATAATATGTAATCGTACACTATAAAAAATATCTGATCAAATTACAGTATAAAGTGCCGGAGCTTTGGGTGCATTACTCGTAAAATCCATTTTACAGAGAAATCCGTTTTTGCCGAAAAATATTGTACCTTAAGTTTAACAGCATTGTTTATTTAATTTAAGTAGTTCAGTAATATTACGATAATTATTACTATAAAAGTTACCGAATATCAGATTTTTTTGTCCCGTAACATGTTCCGCTAAAAGTGGATTTTACGGTATGTTTTCCGGTTCTTCTTTTTCGTAATTTAATCCGTTTTTTTTTACAATCAATTAGTAACGTGATTTATTAATGAACGGATGTAATACATTAATTTTAGAAAATTACTTTTTCAAAAATTACTATTATTTTGAACATGATTGAATCGATCATGAAAGAGGGTCACCCGGAACTAGATACCCTTTAAAATTGACCGAATACGGGTACCCGGAACCAAGTCTTGAGACTAAAATCAGGGTTTGGGCACCAGGTACCGCGTAGGGTCCGGGTACTGAAAGACTGGACAAGTGCCATGTAATTGCCGGATGCATCACTAAACATAAAAATCA